TACTAATAATTTATTATATAAAAAGGTAAATATATCATTAGTAATAAAAGGTTAATATATCTATTATTATTATAAAGGTTTTAAAATATATTTTTTAAAATATAATTTTTTAAAATTTTATAAGGTAAACGTTATTAAAATTTATATTATTAAAGATTTTTATATTAATAATCATTTAATCTTTTTAATAACACCGTTAAGACTATTAATTAATTTTTAAATAATAAATATAAGTATTAAAAATAATATAAGTATTTTAATGCGGATAATATATTTTTAAAAAATCAATTTCTTAATAATTTTATTAATAATAGTTTAATTTTCTATATTAATAAGGTATAAATAAATCTTTTTAAAGAGGAATTTTTCTTATTTAAATTTTAAATTAAAATAAAAAAATTTATTTTTTATAATATTTATAAAATTTTTATTAATAAAAATATTTTAAAATTATATAATTAATGCGTTAAACTTTTTAAAAATATAAAAGTTTTTAAGATTATTATAAATTATTACGCCGATAAGATGTTTACGAGATTGGTTTATCTTAAAAGTAATAAAATTGCTTACGGAATCAAAAATTTAAAATTTAATTTTTTTCTTAAACGGTTTACGTAATACTAAATATAATACGTAATTATTTTTAATTTATTATTTTTAATATCTTTATTTTAAAAGTTTAAAATAATTTATTAAACTATTTTTAAAAATGATTATGTTAAAGTTTAAATTATTGTAAATAATAACTTTATTCATTTTATCATTTAATAATATAGCGTAAATAAAGATGTTATCCGAATATGGTTTAAATATAAAGTTTTATTTAAATAATACGGTATAAGTAATTTTTAAATAATAGTAATATTATACAAAAATAATAATTTAGTTAATTATTATTATTTTAACTAATTATATAATCAGGTTTAAAATAAATAATAAAAAGATTACAATTTTATAAAATTAAATAATTACTAATTTTTTTAATAATATAATATTTATCTATTTAATATTTAAGATGTTTACGCTACATAATATATAAGCTTATAAATCATTAATTAATATAATTTTATATATAAATAAAATAATAATAAATTTTTTATTTTAATAACCTTTAAAATAAAAATAAAAAATAATATATTTTAATAAAAAAATTTAATATTTAATAATTCTTTAAATTAATATTAATATTATATAGGTTTTAATTTTTATTTTAAAATAATATTTTTTAATTTAATTTTTATTTATTAAAGATTTTAAATATTTAATGTTTATATAAATCTTCTTTTTGTACTTTATAATAAAATTTATTATAATATAAAATTTAAAATAAGTTTTAGTTTTATAAATAAAACCTATACTATAATTTAGGTAAAAGTTTATAAAAAACTATAAAATAAAGATTTTAAATTTAATTATTTCTTTTAAAGTAACCTAAAGATTTATTATATTTAAATTGATAAAGATAATGTTAATATTTATTTTATTATTTATATAATTAATTTTAAAAATTATAAATAAAATATTTATAATCATATTAACGACGTTTTTATAATATAATAATAATAAATATAAATTTTTTAACAAATTATTTATTTATTTTAAATAACGTTTTTAAAAATATTAAAATAATTTATTATGTGTGGTTAATATTTAACTATAAAAATTATATTTAAATTTAATTGGCGTTAAGTAAATTATATTAAAATTAATAATATTATTAAGTTTTTTTATTATTAATAAAGGTGTAAAATTTAGAAAAATTAATTTAAATAATAAGATTAGGTTTGGAATATAGTTAAAATCTTCTATTATAAAATTATTAAATGGTTTAAGATTTATTATCTAAAAAGTTTATTTTAAAGGTTTAAAAGGTTTAAATTTAAGTTTTAATTTTTCGGGATAATTAAACTTTAATAAATTATAATTTTCGTAATTTAAGTAATAATCATTTAAAAAATAGTTAAGGTTTATTATATAAACTTTTTATTAAAACTATTATTAATATAAATAATAATTATTATAATAATTGCCTTATTAATTTACATAATTGCGTTAATTTTATTAATTCTATTAATTTTAATTTTATTATTAATTATTTAAAATTTACTAATTTAATACTTATTATTATAATAATTAATTATTAAGATATCTTTGGTTAAAATATCTTTATTATTAAATTTAACTATATTATTAATTCTATTAAAAATTATAATTATTATAATTTTTATAATTATAATTGCTATATTATTTTTTATTATTTTATTAATTACGGTAGTAGTTATTTCAACTTTTACAATAATTTTAATACTATTATAATAAATATTTATTAATAGTTTTATTTTTGGAATTATTATAAAAATACTTACCATAATATATAAATTAAAATATAGAAATAAGATAATTTATTTATTTATACTTTTTATAATCTTTATAATCTTTAAGGATAATAAAATACATTATTAAGGTAAAATTTTATAAAACAGGTTTACAATTATTTAAATAAGCTAAAAATTAATTAAATATAATATTTAAACTAAATCTTTAAAACTATAATTATATATAAAAATTAAAGATATTAAAGATATTAAATAATTAATTAAATAAAAAAAGGTTACAATCTTTAACATCTTAAATAATACCATAAATAAAAACTTAAAAACTTTTATTTTTATAAAAATTAAATATAATAAACTTATATTTTTATAAATCTAATATTATTTAAATATTTTATTTTTTAAATTTTACAATTAAAACTTAAATAATAAAAATAACATCTTTTATTTATAAGATTTATTTTTTAAAATTTATTAATTTAATTATTAATTATTTTTATACCGCATCTTATAAATACATTATTTAGATTTATTTAATTTTAATATTATTATAAAAAATTATTAATTTTAATAAATAATTTATAAAAATATAAACATTTATATAAATAATATACTTACCTATAATAAAAAAACCTAAATTCTTTATATCTTTAAGGTTGAAATTAAAATATCCAACGTCTTTAACTTTAAAAAAATCTCCATTACCTTATCCATTACTATTATAACCTAAACTATTATTAATATTAAAATTAACATTTTAATTATTAAAATAAATAAAGGTTTAAATAAATAAATCTATTATAAAAATTATTATAAAAAAATATTAAAATCAAAATAATTTTAATTAAAAAATAGTTAATTATTAAGAAAATTAATTAAAACGTTATTATTATTTAATACTATTAATAATTATATAAATTATAAATTAATTTATAATTAAATAACTATTTTTCCAATCTTAACAAAATTAAATTAAATAAATGTAAAAAAAGAAACTCTTTATATAAAAATATTTAAAATCCTTAATAATAAAAATTATAATTTAATTTTATAAAGTTATCCCATAAATAATATAAAATTATTATTAAATATCCAATTAACATTAATTTAATTTTCCAAACAGTTAAATTATTTTAATTATTTTAAGGTTTATAAAACAAAATCTTAAAGAACTTAAAGATTATTATAAAATAGTAAAAAATTTAATAAGTTAATAAATAATCTTCTTAATAAAATAGAAATAATTGGTTTGGTAAAAAATACTAATACTAAAAAATTGTTATTTAATCGATAAATAAGTTAAAACTATATTTCTATATATTTTTTTCTCCAACGTCGAAAAAAAACACGTAATAATCAAATAGATTCTACCTATTTAATTAAATAAATAATGTTATTTAATACTTTGTAAATAAAAAATAAATTTATTAAGGAAAAAACCAATTAAATAAAAATAATATCTCTTTCTTAAATTTTTAAAATATAAAAGTAATTAATTTAAAAAAATTAAAATAATTAATAAATTAATAATTATATATTTAATATAAATATTATATAAATTATTAATATTTAATATATAATATTATTAAAATTATAAAATATAATTAATTAATTAAATAAATGTTTATAAAATAAACAATTAAAATAGTAAAAATTATTAAGTAAATAATAGTTTAAGTTTAGAAATTATTTAGCAAATAATAATTTAAACAAATAAATTTAATAAATAATTTAATTAATAATTTAATTTAATTTAATTTTTCCGTTTTAAATTATATAATTTTATGCTAATAAAAATAAAAAAAATAATAAAGCTACTAATTATAATAATATATTATATTATCCCTTATTATTATTATATTGTAAAATATTTAGGAAAAATATCTAATATCTATAAGATGTGTATACTTATGTATACACTAAGTGGGTCCAATGACCTTAGGTCATGTGACATCTGCTCTTTAATCCCCGATAAGATAAAACCCTGACAATCGATAACAGACCCTGCTACATAGGTACATAGAATAAGGATTGTTGTTTGTCTATGCGTACTGCAAAATAAAAAGGTATCATGACGTGCTGCATATGTACCTACCTAAACCTATCAAGCTACTACATAGGTTAGGAGAATGATCGCTCCTAGATATTACCTATAAATGTTTACGATCTAACAATCTCTAATAAATAGGGGTTGAACAATTTTTGTTGAAATAAGCTCGCCAAGCCATATCGAGTCAAATCGAGTCGACTCTAATGCTAAATCGTATCATTGTCATGCTCTATAGACTGATCGTACGCACTATCAGTAGGTTTACCAACCATCCGCGACCCAGCGGCTCATAGGTAGGTAGGTAATTGCGAAGCTGGCGTAGTTTCCGTAGCGGTGGCGGTGTAAGGTCTGTGATGTCCGATATTCCGATATTCCAATATCCTTATTTGGCAATAGATTTAGCAGATGGACCATTCACAAGCCAATCTTTGCAATCTTTGCAATCCTTTTATGCAGAGTATTCACCTAAGCAAAAATCTACACGTGTACGTGAAATTAAGTTTAGCACGAATGCGAATACGAAGTATCGTCGTACCTCTGCATTAGCTTGAAATGGGACATGCATGGTCCGATGTCTAACCCCCTATCGATTGGCCAATCTCTTCCCATCTTTTACCAAAAGGGTCTGTACCTTGACCCTCAATTTTTGTATTTATTAAACTTCCTCCTATGTTCCCTATCTAATATTTATTCCAGCTTCCAACAGTCTACAAGCTAAGAGTGCAGTCGACCGAGTCAGTCGCGCGCGTTTCTAGCAATGGGGCTTATAGAAGATATTCAGGGACCTGTGTCCCAATACATGTCGCAACTGTCGACACCGTCGCAAGTTGGCGTTGTCGCCGCTGGCGTTCTGTTCTTCTCTGTTTTCCTCAACGTTTTACAACAGATTCTCTTCAGAAATCCTAATGAGCCACCGGTCGTTTTCCACTGGTTCCCCTTAATTGGGAGTACCATCACCTATGGCATGGACCCTCCTCGGTTCTTTAAAGAAAATCGAGCCAAGGTACGTTTCCTCCAATACTCCCCTATGCACACCGCGAGTCAGTTGGCATATTAACAGACGCGATAGTATGGTGACATCTTCACCTTTATTCTCCTCGGAAAAAAGACAACTGTTTACCTTGGTCCCGCCGGAAACGACTTCATCCTAAATGGAAAGGTTAAGGATGTTTGCGCTGAGGACATCTACACCGTCCTTACTACCCCCGTCTTCGGAAAAGATGTCGTTTATGATTGCCCTAACTCAAAGCTCATGGAGCAGAAGAAGGTAAACTACCAAACGTTTCTATGGGTTGAAATTCTTACTAACACGAGTGGGGAATAGTTCATGAAAGTCGCTCTCACCACTTCCGCCTTCCAGTCGTACGTCACTATCATCGCCGACGAGGTACAAAGCTACGTCAAGCGATGCCCTGATTTCAAGGGCAAATCGGGCGTAGTCAACATCCCTAAGAACATGGCCGAGATTACCATCTTTACCGCATCTCACTCTCTTCAAGGCAGCGAGATCCGAAACAAGTTCGACGAGTCGCTGGCTTCCTTGTACCATGACCTGGATATGGGATTCACCCCTATCAACTTCATGCTTCACTGGGCTCCCTTACCCTGGAATAAGAGACGCGACAACGCCCAGAGGACCATCTCTAAGATCTACATGGATACCATCAAGGAACGCAGGGCAGCTGGCAAGAGCGATGCGCAGGATATGATGTGGCATTTGATGAACTCGAGTTACAAGGATGGCAGACCGGTTCCCGACCACGAGATCGCACACATGTTGATTGCGTTGCTTATGGCTGGTCAGCATTCTTCGTCTTCTACAAGCTCTTGGATGATGCTACGTCTCGCTTCGCGCCCGGATATCATGGAAGCTTTGTACCGCGAACAGGTTGAGGCTCTCGGTGCTGATCTACCACCGCTGACATATGAGGATCTCGCGAAACTCCCACTGAACCAGGCAATCGTCAAGGAAACCCTAAGACTCCATGCGCCTATCCACTCTATTCTGCGCGCTGTAAAGTCCCCCATGCCAGTCCCCGGAACTAAATTTGTCATCCCTACCAGCCATACCCTACTTTCCGCCGGCGGCGTATCAGCTACGGACCCTGCTTTCTTCCCCGACCCAGACCGATGGGAGCCTACACGATGGAGCAAGGATTCGCCTATCGCACCAACAATCCGCAACGAGGTAGACGATGAGAAGATGGATTACGGATACGGACTTGTTAGCAAGGGTGCCAATTCACCATACCTCCCGTTCGGTGCTGGAAGGCATCGTTGCATCGGCGAGCAGTTTGCCAACGTCCAGCTACAGACGATCACAGCCGAGCTCGTTCGTCTGTTCAAGTTCAGGAACGTCGACGGAAGCGACAAGGTTGTTGGAACTGATTACGCTTCGTTATTCTCGCGGCCAATCGAGCCGGCTAATATCTTCTGGGAGAAGCGAAATGCTTGAAGGGGAAGGTTTAGAATCGGGAAGTAGGAAACGAGTTGTAGTAAATACCCCTAAACACCTAGAGTCCTGTACATACAGCCTTTTAACTGGATGACGACCACGATCCGAGATAGCCCAAGAAGGGCATGAGATGAAAGAAAGACATCAAATAGCTAGAATAATAGTAATAATCAGATATGAGCATAACATACGTTTTATGAAATCATAAACCCTTGTTGGAGTGTTGGTGCAAATTTCCCGGATTAATCATATCCTTACCGTATTACTTTGCAGATATTCTTCAACGTCTTATAACAAGGGAGGACAGATCGGGACGGGAAGCACCGCTGGTACCTGAGAACCCGCGTTCATGGAACAAAAGCTTGTCTGTCCCTGTCCCCCCGCATACGGATGACGCAGTTAGCTTAAAGCTCGAGTAACACAACTTATTGTGTTGGAGATGGTTTCTTCCAAACATTGACTAACATACATAATAAATTGTAAATTATACCCCAAATAGTAATTCTTGGATATATTTAAACTTATTGCATTAGGCAGTTTGCTTTGCTTGTAACTAGGTCAACTAATTGTTGTTTCTTTTCATCTTTTTCGTTTCCGTATTATTTCCAGCTCGGGCTATGTATGTACTTGTGCCAGATCGAAACATGGGCCCCTTGAAACGATTATCCTAGTTATTACCTACATTGCGCTTTTCTTTTCTTCCAACATATGCCGTAGCTATTGAAACATAACATAACATAACATTCTTATCAATATATTAATATTAAGTTCATCTCATTACTAGCGTTCACGCGGGACTAGAGGAATACTTCACTACAATTCACGTTCATTGAACAGGTAGTTCAGGTATCTTACCTTCGTTTCTTTACAAGTTCACTTATTACCTAATTACGCCAAAACCTCAATGTCATCGTCGTCGTCGTCGTCAACCGCGCCAGGACCCCTCGTCCGCCTATGGGGTCTCCGCGCCGAGCAACTCCCCGCGGCTACCGCGTCGCCTGACGAGCTGGCGCCCTTCCTCTTGGCGATCCTGCGGGAAGCCGTCCCGTTCATCGACTCGGCGGCGCCGAAGGCGGCAAACGGCGCTGCGGACCCCAGGGTCTGGAAGGCGAAGGGGAGCCACGCGCATGCGGACTCGGCGGCGAAAGTCGACGTCTTGGAACGCGTGGTCCCGGCTGCTGAGCTGGAGAAGGTGGGGGGGAGTACGGAGAAGGTGGGGGGGAGTACGGAGAAGGTGGGGGGGAGTACGGAGAAGGTGGGGGGGAGTACGGAGAAGGTGGGGGGGAGTACGGAGAAGGGGAAGGGGAAGGGGAGGGGGGGAGTTAGGCCGGAAACTTGGTGCTGCCGCCGCAGCGTCCACGAGGATAGGCCGGAGAGGGGAACGGCGTGCTGGGGGGAATTCGTGCGCAGCTTCCGCGACGAGCATGCCGAGTCGGAGCGCGCGTTCACGCCGGCGTGCGTGGATGCGCATCAGGCTTTGGCGTGGGACTGCGGAGGCGCGGAGGCTAGGGAGGGAGGGCAGACGTGGAGACGGTTCGGGCTGATTGTGGAGGAGATGCGGCATCGCATCGGGAAGCCGGTGTTGAAGGATCGGACGTTTCCCGTGCTGCAGATGACTGCTGCAACTGCTAGTTCTACCACCACCTCTTCCTCAGAAGGAGAAGAAGAAGAAGATGATGATGATGAGTTTCTAGTGGTAAGCATTCCCATACCGGATTTTGGGACGTCGGAGGCGAGTAAACTGGCGAGGGAAAAGGGGGCGCAGATTGCTAGTTATGTGAGCGTGGAGAGGATCCGGAGGATAGCGGATGGGGATGGGGGTAAGAGGGTGGAGTGGCTGATGGCGACGGCGAGTGATGCGGGAGGCGTGCTGCCGGCTTGGGTGCAGAATGTGGCGGCGCCGGGGGTCATTTGGAAGGATGTGCCGCTGTTTTTGGGGTGGATTGGTAGGGAGAGGGTGAAGAGGTAGTAGTAGGGATGATGGGGATGGAAGTATTATGTATGACACAGCGGCTTATATCATTGGCGGAGGGTGTTGAATATTATTATGTTAATATGATTATGGTTGAAGGAAGAAATGCTTGTACAAAGAAGGATACTATCTAGGTTAGGTACATAGGTAATGATAATTATCTAGAATTTATTTATACCTACCTAGGTATACTGTAGGTAGGGAAGTACATAGTACTGTCTTATATAAGATCACCCCGCCATAACACATGTATAGTCTATCTTATCGATAATGTTATCTGACAGCGGCAGTTACCCCTCCGTAAGCGGTACCTTTTTTTCTACTGAGTCAAAGTTGTGTGAGTCAAGAAATTTTCGAGAAGGGGAGTCGACTTATATACCTAAGGTATTAGCCAACCCCAATGCTACGAATCATTTCCCCCTAATTTTCCATTCAACACCGTCAAGTTGTCTAGGTTATTTCTTAGGGCACTCTGGGTGCGCAGGCCGCCGTGCAGATCAACCTTTCACTTCACTCGCGCCAACATGGCTACAAATAGCTCCCGTGGTAACCCTATTGATGCGTCCGAGGGCCCAAGCAAGGTTGGCGAAGGTGCCCCGCCTCCAGTCGCCGCCGATACTAAAGACGCCGTGAAAGAAGCTGCGGGACGGTCGGACGGTGCCGGCGTGCACGCCTCGGGTCAAGATGCCGGAGCCGCTTCGACTTCAGCCAATGCAGAACCTAAGGTTAAGACTGAGAAGGAATTAGAAAAGGAGAGGAAGAAGGCTGAGAAGGCTGCCAAGTTCGAGCAGAAGAAGGCCAAAGCCGCACAAGCTGCCCCTGCCGCAAGTGCTAAGGCAAAGGACAAGAAGCCTAAAGCTCCCAAGGTCGAAGAAGAGCCTCTTCCCCCTTACGTCGAGGAAACCCCCGCCGGCGAGAAGAAGCGACTTAGATCCCTCGACGACCCCCAGTTGAAGGCCTACAACCCGATTGCTGTCGAGAGTGCTTGGTATGAGTGGTGGGAGAAGTCGGGTTTCTTCAAGCCTGAATTCGCCCCGGACGGCAAGGTCAAGGAGGAAGGGTCTTTCGTCATCGTCATACCACCTCCCAACGTGACGGGAGCGCTACACATGGGTCACGCCCTAGGTAATTCCCTTCAAGATGTCATGATCCGATGGAACCGCATGCACGGGAAGACAACGCTATGGCTACCTGGTTGTGATCATGCCGGTATCAGCACCCAGAGCGTCGTCGAGAACATGTTCGTGCCATTACCCTGCTATTCTTTTCCAGGTACGTATACTGACTACTCTCTAGGTTATGGAGGCGGCAAGGCAAGACCCGTCATGACTTGGGCAGGAAAAAGTTTGTGGAAACCGTATGGGACTGGAAAGAGGATTACCATAAGCGAATCAATAACGCGCAACGTAAGATGGGCGGCTCGACCGATTGGAGCAGGGAGGCCTTTACTATGGATAAGAATTTAAGTGCGGCTGTGACGGAGACTTTTGTCAAGCTCCACGAGGAGGGAACAATCTACCGTGCGAACCGTCTTGTCAATTGGTGCACCCAGCTTAACACGGCGCTTTCCAACTTGGAGGTCATCAACAAGGAGTTGACCGGGCGAACACTCCTCGACGTACCTGGATATGATAAGAAGGTTGAATTTGGAATTATTGTCCACTTCAAGTACCCTATTGAAGGCTCCAATGAGACGATCGAGGTTGCTACGACGCGTCCCGAGACACTACTAGGTGACACAGGCATCGCCGTGCACCCTGATGACGAACGGTATAAGCATCTTGTGGGCAAGAAGGCTGTCCACCCCTTCATCGAGGGCCGTTTGATGCCGATCGTGGCGGATGACTACGTGGACAAGGAATTTGGTACTGGTGCCGTCAAGATTACCCCGGCTCACGACCCGAACGATTTTGCGCTAGGTCAGCGACACAACCTAGAGTTCATCAACATCTTGACCGATGATGGTCTCATGAACGAGAATGCCGGCCCCTACAAGGGTCAGAAGCGATTCGACGTAAGGTATGCTATCCAAGACGCTCTTAAGGAGCGTGGGTTGTACGTAGATAAGAAGGACAACCCGATGAAGGTGCCCCTCTGCGAGAAGTCCAAGGATGTAATCGAGCCCATCATGAAGCCCCAGTGGTGGATGAGGATGAAAGATTTAGCTGCCGAGGCAATCAAGGTGGTGAAAGATGGCCAGATCAAGATCAAGCCCGAGACGGCCGAAAACAGCTACTACAGATGGATGGAGAATATCAATGATTGGTGTCTCTCCCGTCAACTCTGGTGGGGACACCAATGCCCTGTCTACTTCGCCAATGTTGAGGGCGAGACAGGTGACCGGGCGGACGACAAGTTGTGGTTCTCGGGGCGGACAGAGGAAGAAGCACAAGCGAAGGCTGAGAAGGCTCTGTCAGGAAAGAAGTTTACGCTAGAGCGCGACGAGGATGTGCTCGACACATGGTTTTCTTCCGGATTATGGCCGTTCTCAACCCTCGGATGGCCGAACAAGACTCATGACCTGGAGTCGTTATACCCAACTAGCATCCTCGAAACTGGATGGGATATCTTGTTCTTCTGGATCGCAAGAATGATCATGCTTGGCCTTAAGCTGGTCGGACAGGTTCCTTTCCGCGAGGTTTACTGCCACTCACTCGTGCGAGACTCGGAGGGAAGAAAGATGTCCAAATCTTTAGGTAACGTTATAGATCCTCTCGATGTCATCAGCGGGATTCCCTTAGAAACCCTCCACGAGAAGCTGGCGATGGGAAACCTCCACCCTAGCGAGGTTGAGAAGGCCAAGAAATACCAGAAGACGGCTTTCCCCGAGGGTATACCACAATGCGGAGCTGACGCACTTCGATTCTGCATGGTCAACTACACGACCGGTGGAGGAGATATCAATTTCGATATCAAGGTCATGCACGGTTACAGGAAATTCTGTAACAAGATTTACCAGGCCGCAAAGTTTGTTCTCGGCAAGCTAGAACAGGACTTCGTTCCCGAGAAGACCGGGAAACCTACCGGCAAGGAATCCCTTGCCGAGAAGTGGATTCTACACAAGATGAACGCCGCCGCCAAGGAGATAAACGAATCTATTGCGAACCGGGAGTTCAACAGATCAACGACGACGGTGTATCAGTACTGGTACAACCATCTCTGTGACGTGTACATAGAAAACTCGAAATCTCTCATACAGGAGGGCACAGAAGAGGAGAAGCGCTCGGCTGTCAATACTTTATATACTGCGCTAGACAACGCGCTAAGGTTGATTCACCCCTTTATGCCTTTCCTCACAGAAGAACTGTGGCAACGCCTCCCGCGCCGACCCGGCGATGAAACTCCATCAATCATGCTTGCTCGATACCCCGTGTACGATCCAGAGCTAGACAACCCCGCGGCCGAGGCTGCCTACGAACTCGTCCTGGGTTGCTCTAAGGGTATCCGTTCATTAATGTCCGAATACGCTCTTAAGGACGAAGCTAAAGGTAACCTGTCCGAACTTACTGCATCCCCGAGCTTATACTAACACGAATATCTACAGTTTTCATACAAACCTATGACGAGACGGCGCACGAGACCGCGGTGGAGCAGGTCCAATCCATCAAATCGCTCAGCGGCAAGGGCGTGACCGGAATCGAGGTTATCTCCGGATCAGACGTGCGTCCCACCGGATGCGTGGCGTTCCCCGTGTCGAGCGCCGCGGCAGTGTTCCTACACGTCAAGGGACGCGTAGACATCGACGACGAGATCTCCAAGGCCAACAAGAAACTCGACAAGACGCGCGCCGCCATTGCCAAGCAGCAGAAACTCCTCGCCGACACCAACTACCAGCAGAAGGTCGCGGCTGCCCTCCAAGAGGCGGACAAGAAGAAGCTCGCCGACCTGGAATCCGAGGCCAAGGGCTTTGAGGGCACAATTAAGCAGTTTGAGGGACTGAAGCTGGAATAGAGGGGTGCGTGGATTTTTAAATAAGATTGTTTAGGGGGAGTTGTCTCGGGGCGGGAGGAAGAGATGTGAGAAAAGAAGAAATAGGGTGCGGTTAGTTGTAGTTGAGACTTGTGCTACGGATTTGTAGTGATAGAGATGAGAGATAGGGCAAATAGAAGAAACAAGGAAATTTCAATGAAATGGTCGTGGTCTTGGCGATATCGCTACTGCTGTGGTGTGAAGATTTCATAGGTATGTGAAGTAAACCAGGACTTGAAAACCAAGCAAACTACCCGTATAACTTAGTTGTGGTTTGATGGGATAAGTCTACATACACACACACACACACACACACACACATATATATATATATATATATATTATATATATCCCTTACCCGAACTTGCTGCTCTATTACCATCTGACCTAGGTAGTTATCCATTATCACGTTATAGAATAGGTAGTTACATAGTAGTTATAGTATAATTACCTAGTATAATAAGTAGCAAGTGGTGCATAGTAAACGGCACGTAGTCGGCACTCTAAGCTAATTCAGCTGGCTGGCTAGCTGTCCCCTTCCGCAGTTAGACAGGCCCCAGGGAGGGGGCGCAGGGGGTTGGTTCTACAGAGGTTAGAGCAGTTGAGTTGAAAGGCGGCTGAGATCGGCCTGTGCTGTGCTGTGCTGTGAGTATGTATAGTTTATTGAGGTAGTTATAACTAGCATACAAGTGTTCAGGCGATATGTGATGTGATAGTAAGTACTACTTCTTTGGCTCAATTAACTACCTAGGTTAGGAGGTAATCAGGGGTTAATAAAACAGTAAACGGACGTGCAGAATAACGACTACACTATTCGTCTAAACAGAACTTATTTCGATGCCATGATTCTAGCACACCGAGCACATTTACCGACTTACTACACCGGAAACCATCACGAAACACCATAATCCGCTCATGATAAAATGTTCCAAGAATTTGCATTGGTTATTGGAAGTATAGGCAGTATATACCTTATGTACATAACCGGGCAGCCAGCATGCTATCTCTCACCCTCACCCTGACCCTCACAATACATCGTATCCATCCTTTTCTCTCATTCAACTCTAATCGTCACAAACATCTTCCCTCCTCCTACCTATTTCTCATATCAGAGAAGCCGCAGTAATAGCAACGCCTAGACGCCATGCCTTCAAGGATGACAACAAATCATTCATCCCGCCCCTCCCGGCAGAATATTTTTTTTTGTCCGACGAACTCCGACTTAGACGGAGAATAATAAAAAAGGAAAAAAAAAAAAGAACTGATGGGTATTATGTAATAACACACGCGCAATTTATGCTAAATAGTGTAGTGTAATGGTAACAACGGTCGATGATGATGGGGGCCGTGGTCCTCCGGGTTTTAATACAGTTGAGGTGCAAGTAAACGAAGCAGAGGCTTATTCTACGCTTCCCCTGCTGCCCTGCGTAGCAGCGTCTTCGGCAGCGGTCTCCTTGGCGGGGGCTCTGGCCGAAGCTCCCAGCTTCTCCTGCTCTTTCTCGAGAGCTAGGCCGTTCGTATTGGCCATGTGTTGATGCTCTTCGATTCCGTGCTGCGGGATAATTCTGTGGCCGTCCGCGGTAGGCTCTTCCTTGGCAGGGGTCCATGCCAGGAAATCTCGGCGCACTTCAACGTAGTCGTACGCAAATTCGCCGAGTTGGTCGTCGTCCATACCCAGGAGCTCGGCCTCTTCCGTAGCGCGCAAGTGTAAACCGGGTACGAGGTCGATGAGCTTGGCAATGAGGGCGGACATGACGAACGAATAAGCGCAGGCGGCGACGATGTAGGCGATCTGGATGTATAACTGGGCATAGTGATGATCAATCCAACCGCCGGGAAATACTCCGTTGTTGACACCGTCCAGGCCGATGATATAGTTCGCACTGAAGAAGGCGTTGAAGATGAGACCAACAATACCACCGATACCGTGTTCAGCGAATACATCGAGGGAGTCGTCGATTCTGACTAGGAACTTGACTGTTTTCAAACGTGTTAGTACAAATCGTTACAGTGGTTTCGATCTAACGTACCTTTAGTGCCAAAGTTACAGCAGACACCAGTGACAACACCCAGGATGATCGACGCCCAAGGAGGGATAAAACCAGACGCAGGCGTAGCAGCAACGAGGCCAGAAATGACACCGGAACACCACCCAACCATCGACCACTTCCTCGCAAGACGGAAATCAAGCAGGCACCATGTCATACCGGCAAAAGTAGCCGTCAGACAAGAGTTCCAGCATGCCATTGTAGCCCTTAGGTTAGCGCCAAACGCAGAACCGCCGTTAAATCCAAGCCAGCCGAACCAAAGGAAGACGGTGCCGAGCGTGACCAGGGAAACGTTGTGAGGTCGGAAGTTCAGCATCATCTTCTCGTGGCGGCGGCCGAGAACCCACGAGTAGGCCAGAGCGGACAGACCGGAGCCGATCTCGACGGGCCCACCTCCGGCGTAATCGAGAACACCGTAGTTGAAGGCCCATCCGTTAACATTCCAAACCCAGCAGGCGAGGGGACAGTATACGAGCGTGGCCCAGAAGAAGACGAAGACCATAGCGGGAAGCATGCGACCTCTCTCGGCGACCGCGCCGATGACGAGAGCTGCGGTCACAGCGCAGAACATCATCTAGATCATACGTTAGCCATGGCATTTTGAATGTCAAAAAGTTGAATGTCAAAAAGAAAAAAGAAAAAGAAAATAACTAGAAACTCACCTGGTAGAAAGAGTACAGCAACTCGGGAATGAGCGGCGATCCGGGCGAAGGCTTCGCGAGGGTGTTCATGAGACCGAAGTGATGCAAGTCGCCGATAAAACCGTTGGTGGCCGTCGAGCTGAAGGCCAGCGAGTAGCCCCAGAAGTACCACTGGAAGATGATGACGCTGAAGGACATCATGACGACCCAGATCAGAGACAAGGCCGACTTTCGTCGAGATAGCCCCGAGTACAGAAACGCGATGCCGGGTACCATGAGCAAGACCATGCATGCCGAGACGATGATGAAGGCCTGGTCGCCTGATTGGTACCATTGGTTCAAGTTTTCGGTGCCTATTTGAGAATCGTGTTAGTTTCGGTCTGGTTACGCGCGCATTGCTTCTCGCTTCTCGCTTCTCGCTTCTCGTTTCTCTTCTGGTGTGAGATTGGTGGTTTCGATTGCGATTGTAAGTAACATACTAGAATCTCCGCCGGTCTCGGGATTGCTGCCGTCGAACTCGGCGGGCGCACCCGTCCAGTTGTAGGAGGGTGACCACGACATGATGTCGGTAGTAGTCGAGAAATTCGGGGAGTCGGCGGGTTAAACAACAGCCCGCGGGTCAATTTCCTCTGTGCGAAGAAAAAGTAAAAATAAGAAAAAGAGAGACGACCGCCAGACTCGGTTGACATGCAGCATGGGGATCGAGGCGACATATATGAGAAGCGGCAGGCCGAAGTGGACTCTTATTTTTTTAATTTTTTTTTATAGACTTGAATTGAGAACTTTAAGCGTCCGGCCAGACCTTAACAGAAGACGGAACCAAATTTGGGAAGATAGATAACCGTCGGACCAATCAGATGTTTCGGTCTTACCTGTAACTGTATGTAATTGAGCAGTTACATAGAAGGTACTACTTTGTAGGTGCTGCACCCCAAACCCGGAACCCCCATGTATTGTATTGTACAATACCTACATAGGTACCTTGCTTGGGTAACTCTGCTCCACTGGAGGCTTACACGCATGTACTTTCGTATTTACGGGGAACATGTACCTAGCCCATCTGCCCATCTGCCCATCTGCCCACGGAGCATGTACTTGTGAATTTGTATGTACATACCTACCTACCTAGTTACATATGAAAGGCGTCGTTATTTGAGCGGCATTGCTGGTCCAGGGCAAGTGAGAGAGACCTTTTATCCAGGGACTGTAGTTGTAGCCTCATGACGAAGGGAATATATGCAATTAATACTGAACCCTTACCTAGGTAGGTACTATTAAATAGTATACGCAAGAAAGACCAGACCTAGTTACATCCAATATATTGCAGCGGCATGTGGTTGTAAATTCCATCCCTCATATGCTACAGCTGCATCTCCGATAAATTCTTACCATATCCACTTTAGCATTGCCGCTTATGTATGTACCTACCTACCTATAGCGTCGTCCTTCTCTCGTCCTAGGTTAGATATGTAGGTACATACATTTCGGTAATATGGGTGCGTGGAGTATATAGGTTAGGTAGTTAACTCGGCAGCCTCAGCGCCAGGGGCTTATATTACTGGACGTCGACTAAGACCAAGACGCCCCCAATTGCCTTGGGCTAAAAGATCCGAGTGGTGATGCTAACTTGCCGCATTGCATGACCTCATAGAGGCAAGGCAAGGCAAGGCAAGGCAAGGCAAGGCAAGGCAGGATGATGGATACCATATCCCATATCCCATATCCCATATCCTCCGCCCCAAACAACATTACGATATAAAAACCCACGAAATCGATATTCTCACCGTTGTCGTCAAACCCAAGTCCAAGGGTCCATCAATGCAGGTCCCCTATGTACATACATATGTAAGCTCTAGTAATAGTAAGCCAGAAAAGAAGCTCGAGCCTCTACCTACATACATAGATCGCGTGGGACGGGCGTATCTGTTACCAAATAGTTTGTCCGCTACCCTGCAAACCATTTGCAACGCCCTCGACGCAGACGAATGGGAGCGCCGGCTTTCAGCCCGAACAATTCCTATCTCTGCTATATCCTAGATGTGGATGAGTCGCGCGATGGGGCTGAGAGATCGATTACCTGTTAGTTAGTTAGTTAGTTAGTTAACTAGCCGCAAGTTCTTGAAACATTCGCGACCGGTTCTAGGTACATATGTATTTACTTAGGTACCTACCTATTGCCATCCCTTCACATCCATGTAAGCCAATGCTAACGGCTGAGTTAACTCAAATCGCTGACGCATCCCGCGCTCGTCAACCCCAAAATACCTACAACGAGTAAACGAGGCATTTTTTCTTCTTCTCTTTATTACGTAGAGCCTCGCAGTCCTCGATCTCATTAGTGGCGGGATCGACATCAGGTCCAATTGCTTCCAAGTACCGCGTTAACAATTTCCAGCTCGGGGCACCATTCGGATCATCGACTATGTACATATGTACCTACCTACCTATCGATGTTCGAACGCCAACTTTCTCGGTCCAACGCCATGTACCTACCTAGGTACCTATGTTCGGCATCCTTCTAGAACAGAACCTTACCACCGTCTGCATCGTCTCAGCCAGTCACATCCAAGCAACCAGATACATGCCTATGTACCTAAACTATGTATATATAAGTTCGTTGGTGTTACCCGAGTCGCCTATGTATGTACCTACATACCTACCCGCAACGGTACCGCATCGTTCCACAGTCTCGTGTCGCGAACCGAGGAAAACGCACGAGGCTGCCGGAGATTAGTACATTAATACCGCTTTGGGCTGAGGAGCTGAATTCCATGGGCGTACGTAGGTATCCGTCACCGGGCCGCTCGCCTCCCAAGCCAGGAAAGTTACATACATACCTACGTATGTACCTTGTTGAATGACAAAATTCGCCCCACACGTCCCCGGAAATAACCAAGCGACCCGCACCGCTCTAACTTTGAAGGGAAAGGCTAGCTCAAGCCTTATCTTTGATCTTTCATCCAATCAGAAGTTGCTGCTTTTCTATTGATTTATCATTGCCCTACGAAATCGCGTCTTGGCATCAGATCTGAATATATACATAGAGGTAACCTAGGTAGGTACCTACCTCAGCCTACGTATGCATGTTATTACATATGTAGTATCCTAGATTCACATCATTAACCATCGTGATTTATATCTTGAAAATCAGGTAATGCTAAGTATAATACCCTTTCCGTTAACTAACGTGCTTGATCATACGAGTATCAATTCACTCTCGGAATTCCATCTATTAGTAAAGCCTAGCTTGTAAGTCACTGCATAATTTTGATACGTAAGAGTCTTGCCCAGAAAGCGAGCGTGAACCTGATTTCAACTATCTCGAATTACCCTAGTCCGGGTGGCATTTTCTAGAAACCAATCCCGGTCTGGATGGTCTGGTTCCCCCACGGGTTAGTCGTCGTGACATTTCGTAGTATACATCTGGCCACATGATAGCTGAAAAGCTAAGCTAAGCAAGTCATGCCTCATTCATGCCAATCTGTTCCGGTTTGTTGCCTTTTTAATTCCTTTGTCAATCCTTCGCGGGAACGCCATGCAACATGACAGATATTTCAAGAGCCTCGTCCGTCCTCCCTTGTCCATATGCAACCTAAACGCCTGCTGGTTTAGCCCAGCCTCGATTCGAAAACATCCCACGAAACCCTGGGTATCTTGAAAATGATTTTGTACAGAAGAGAAGAAATCCGTAACCCTCATACAATAGAGAGAGGGTCTGTTAATGAGCTTCGAGATATTTCGTAACTGAGAATTCTAAGGTCGTAGTACTGCAGCATGATGCGGTATCGTCTTCGGTCAACAGGTCCGGTTGCTCGTTCTACATTTCCCGAGAATGGCACTGGCCCGACGGCCACCCCTAGCAAGGGGCAGATAGGCCGCATCTCGTTATCTTCATCCCGTTTCAGGGGTAGGACAGCCTCAACCTTGAAGCCTCGTTTGAATAGGAACTGCTTTGGGGGGCGCGTCAAGGTGACAAGCGCCACCCGCCCGCACAACGAGCCAGCTACGACTAGCGACAGTTCCGGGACGTGTATGAGATTCGCTAGGCGTTCATGAGATATTCTCATTGCTGGAGTCACTGCATGCGGAGGTCGGGACTGGTCGATGGCTTTCTCAAACATTATACCTATACCACCCTCCTCAAAACTGCGAAGCTCGAGATCGACCTCGTATGTTCGTAGAATACTGCTTCCATCCGTGAGAATGGTCTTGGGCTCCTCAATATATTTAGAGTCGGTTTTCCCTGGCCGAAACTCCTGCGCGGTGCCTAACTCGGGGACCTTCATCCTGTGGTCAAATTCAAACCATGAACCCCCAGGTGGCACACCTCTGTGCTCAACAGGGTTGAACGAAAATCGCGAAATTTTATCCCATCTCACCCACGGATGCACCCACGAGTTGTTTTTCACGTTTTTGATGGCCTTGCTGATATCAAACCAGTTCCCAATCCTCTCGTGGGAAATGAATCTAATATTATCTTTTTCTAGGCCCAGCGAATCCTTATAATCGGCTGCCGGGAGAAAACTGCTTTCGGGGAGTACGAGAACACCCCAGCCCCGAGGCCTGGCTTCTGTTAGCATATTCATCATGTCATAACAACATGGGGCGAACTCACTTGCGGAAAGTGTCATAATAAAACCTCACGTTACGCGAGCGAGCGGAGTAGAGGTCCTCGATCTTGACGAAAGGATGGCCGCCAAAGTGCCAAATGTCCATCACCCAAAGCCTTCCCTCGATATCTATTGCTACAACCTTATCCGCTTCCCCCTTGCCGTCGTTACCAAATGCAACATTCGGAATATTGGCCCCTCCTATACCAGTGTCTAGGATAATTCGCCAGTTGGCATCTCGACGCCGGATTGCTTTTTCTAGCGAAGACACATACCCAGCCTCCTTAGCGGGTGAGGATTTGCTGTTTGATGATTCCAAGGGGTCACCATTTAGATTCTTATCGACGTTTCTAAAGAATTCAACTGAGTCGACTCCTGGGTTATGTCTATAATGTTTCCCGGTTAAGGCAAACACGAAAACACAGACTTTGTGCGCGTTAGAACTAACGGCTATAAGGCGAGAGTTCTTGTGAACTGCAAGACCCCAGGCGCTTTTTCCGACATTCTCGTGAAAGAAGGGCTCGGGAACGATTTCGATGTCCCGGCCGTCCCTCTCACGGCGCAGGAGCTCGTTCTCGATAGACCGAGTGTAGTATCCGATGACATCGCCATCATCGTAGGCAAGCAGTAGAATTTCCTCATCGCCAAGATCACCAACGACTAGATGGTTTACCTGATGCGGGAAGATGTTATCTAAGTACCCGCCAACTCCAATACCCATCGCGCTAGGCTGAGGTCGTAAGATAAGGTCAGGCTCAGCAGGCAAGGAGTTCGTAATGCAGCTGCGGGGACGGGAGACGTATATCTTGTCTGTGTATGCCACCATGTAGATATTGTAGACTTGTGATAGTGCCGTAAGATTCAATCTCCATGTTGCGATCCGCGGCGGCCCTTCTTCTTCTAATGCGCCATCCGGCTCCGTAGTGGGTTCCTGGTCGGTAAAGTCATCGAAGTCATCCATTCCAGGGTCGAAGAGCCCATCTGTCGATAAATCTTCTGGTTCGTTAGGCTCTAGAGCCTCTATAAAGGCCAGATCATCTTCCAAATCCATTTGCGTCACACCCTCCATAACATTATCGTTGTCAAGTGTATGAATGTCGTCATCTTCGATGGCTTCCTCGGAATCACTAGTATCGTCGATACTTTGTTCGTCCACGTCGCTATTCAGGTTGATTTCCCCTGCGGGGTGATTAGCCTCGAAGGGTATCTGTATTGACATGGAGATGCGATGCTACAAACAACAAGGTCAGCGAGAATGTTCAAATATTCAATAAGCAAGGTGGACGAGATGCCTACCCTCTTGCGGCCGGTCTCGCAGTAGCATTTGCTCACTTGGAGCTCCCCCCCAACGGAGCTCGTATCCTTCGCCATATCATCACAGATTGCCAGGGGCCACCGGTGCTTATCAGTGGATTCGGTGCTAAGGAAAGATGATGGGAGAGGAGGCTCGGATTAATTATTGCAGGTTATATTGCAGATAATTATTGTAGGTGGAAGCTCTTTAGTCTTGCAAGGCGTCGTAACTTCTGGAAGTCATAACAATATGCACATGCCTGACGCATGGCGGTGGAGACCAACATGAATTAGAGTTGATAACGATAGGTGAAGCTGCAAAGCTTGTAGCGACTAAAGCAACTTTAAGGGATCTCCAACATTACCCCGCCAATTATATAGCTCCGACTAGTGGGATGACAGTGGGTCAAGATGTTGTGGTCCGTGCTTGCACAATGTGTAACTGGTACTTTAAGATACCTTAACTAGATCTAGGTACCAGGCAGTTACTTAGACGTCTCACCAATAAGAGTCAGTCCTTTCTTTCTCAGGGGTAACTTCTATGTAAGCTGTATAACTTTGACTAATCCTATAGAAATCTCAAACAATAGACTCACCTTAATTAGTAACTTTAGTTCCTAAGAGTATCTCACAAGAAGAATTCACGTCACAAACACTGCATGATAGAGATGAATTATCCAGAAACGATAGGCCGCTTTAACAACAAACAAGAATATTCTTCTTCTTGTTATGTTTAATTGTGATATAGTATATCTAAGTGAAGTGGTATGAATATATTGCAGTAACTCTCTAAACCAAGAGTATAGCCTTATATGCCCCGGATTCAGGGGTATACAACTAGTTATTAGAAAATACACAGACACAATGAATGAAGGTCAGACAATGCAGACGCGCTGTCAGGCAACAGCTTGAGAGGACAAGGGGCTGCAATAATCGCATGTTTAAACCCCACATGGTCTAAGATGCTTCTCTTCTCTTACGCATAACAGGTAGTTATATCATACTCGTCGTATAGAATTTGGAATTATATGCGACGACTTCTCCTAGCCAGGTCTTTCCGACCATCTCGTGTCTATCTTAGTCTGACCTATTGAAATTCACGTTAGAAGTATTGTGCCACCATCCTCGACGTTATTGAAGCCATCTCGCGGTCCAATATTGAAGTATCACAACTAAATAACATATAGTAGTATCAGGGACAGCAGGCGCATACGGCTAGAGATAGGGACCTAGCTTCTGGTATATATATGTATGTATTGATGATTGTTGCAACTCATGTCCCTTCTAAGGATAAGAGGATGGATACTCTCCTTATATAAACCTGCCATGCAGTAGCTACTCCAAGGGGGTAGCCACATCGCCTCACGACAGGTAGTTCTAATAAAGTATTAGGGCGGTCAGTAAGGCAGGTAGAATAGATACCACAGAGAATTCAGGTATCATGGATACTACCAATACGTACAGAGTGACGACTTGGCACTGTAGAAATTTATTTGATAACGTTTCACGATATCTATAATGAAGTGGTAAAGATAGGATAATATTGCATAAAAACTAATAGGGGCTCTTCTGCAAACAAACCCCTTTATTGATCAATCCGTCGCAATGAGGATGCCAGCTTTGAAGAACCTTAACATGTTAAGCTTCTTTCATACCTCCACAGTCTCAAGTGTCAACTTAAGTAGTTGTGCTAACGGGGCAATTCCAATGAGACAAGGTCTTCCGTCGCTTCATGATTTGGAAATCAACAAACACTCAGCGACTCACTACTTCTAGAGCGTCATTCTATTCCAAATAAGAAGTTCTGTTTGAGTTGACATAACTATGCTCTATTAGTTAATCTCAAGTTTTAGGAAACCAACCACCCCCTAGTAGATCTGCTCAGGGGTAAATCATACGCCATAGCTACCCCCATCGGTCGAAGTTGCCCTATAAGTAAAACAGTCCCATTATCTACCTATACATACAGGTAGCCAAGTATTCACCCATGGTTAGGTAGTAGTATTTAGCAACAACGACATGCTGTCCTTCAACTACTCGCCAATCCGATCTATTACCTTCCAGCATAGCTCCTAATCGTCAAGCACCTTATGCCCAAAGCCGAGGACAAGAACCCCGCCTCATCTCTGAATGACAAACGACTGTCAGGCTATGGGCTCTTGTAGGCTTGTAACCATTCCATTCTTTTATATTCCTGAATCTACATCTATAGGGCTTAGCCTGGGTTAAGAGGTAGACAACCCCTTAATGTGATCCGCCCATATACCAACTCCCCGACTCTCGAGATCATTACCTCATATTACCCTATAGTGGCACATTCCAGGGATACATCCAACATATGTATGCAGGGCTTTCATTCTGGAAGCGGTTGACTGTGACAAGTTGAGGCGGCCTAATTATAAATTATCATTGTTCCCATAATAGCCCGTAGTATCTAGGCCAAACGCTCAATGGCCTATATACTATTATCTACCACTTCTTCTCGTCGAAGCGTATCAAAGCTCGCTATCTATGGACTCAACATCGGCTGGCTGGCATTTCCACATAAACCTGGTATATCATTATCAACACCGGGATAACCCCGATGATCGGGGAATGCCTCGGCAACTGCTTCGCACCCATGTAAAACCTAGCTATTACTCAACGAGGGAGAGACATTATAAGACATAATTTCCGGTCTGTCTCCACTCTCGCTGGTATAGCATTCTGATAAATACGTGTACAATACAGTCTTCACAGTAAAACTTGTTCCGCAACGGCATAAGACACAAGAGTCTTCGTCCTGCAGTCACTACCTATCCCCTGACATATAAAAACTAATCAGCATAAGCTACCTACCACGGATCGCAGCCCCCAACATCCAGGGGGTGTAGCATACAACGTATTTACAGTTCTACGTTCTGCAATATCACATAATGTAGCATGGGAACCAGAAGCATGAGGGCGGCAGCAACACCCGTACATACGAAAGGAAGCACATCTACCACGAGCCGGTCTCACAAATGCAAAACCTCCATCTAAGCAATTAACACAGATGACTGTGTAACTCCCACCGCCAGCCCGTTCAGCAGCACCCCCTCGCGGTGTTGAAAGGGTCTCCGTCTCCCACGACCGGCTGTATTTACCTACCCCCAGACCCCAACCCGCCCGGGATATATCTATGATCTACGAACCCATCGATCCCGGGAGCGTACAGCATGTATACCGTGGAAACGTCATAATGTCTTCATACCTAGGTATTTGTGTGTGTCCGAATGGAGAAAAAATGGGGGGAGGGGGCTATCCTGGAATTGAAATACTTACTACCGTAGTACTATAAACTAATAATGACTATCCATAGAAAGAGCTAGACGCTATTTCTAGAGACTCTTCTCCTAGGCTATCTTGTGTGTATGCGTGTGCTAACCGTCCATCTACATAATATCGGTTAAAACAGTACGCCATTTCCAAGGGAAAATTATGTGCCATTATACATACACATATGTACAGCCGGCCCTCGCTTGTCAGGCACGTACCTTTACCAAGCCTTCTATAAAGTTTTCCCTCCTAGTACGTAGCGAGAGGCTCGCCTCGTCCTCGCTCGTGCATATTAGATCAGATTATGCAAGGGAAGCGCGATCTCAGCCCCCCATCGTCGTAGTAGTGGCGGATCACAAGGTCCAGATCCGGATTCGCATAGGTAGGTTCATTGGTTGCCAGGGGGGTTAGGCCAACCCACCAGTTTACGAACCTATATAAACCACACGATGGGAACTTCGCCGATCACGCGGGATAACCGAGATTTGAGTATGTAACAGGCTGCTAGTGCTTATGCTCGACCCGACCCATTACCGCGGTGCTGTAACACGGCCTGGATCTTGGAGTAGACGACAACATTCTAGATCGGACTGTCGCACAAACTGACGACGGCCAAATCCCGCGTTATCATCTCCGACGATCGCCGAGGGATGCTATTTAGTTGGTATAAAGATTCGTCCACATCCTACTTGGTTAAGTTGAATGCTTGCTCGTCCTCATTCACAGAACCCAGCTCGGGATTGGTCTCTCAAGAATTGGCCTCGCGGAGTCTCAAGCCATGTTTCGCCCCCGAGATATCAAGAGTGCCTTTCTATTCTTTAGAAGTTAATAGTCTTCGGCGAAACTCCACGTTCCTTTCGGGAAGTAATCTTAGGTTTAATCCTAGGTTCTCATAAAGTCCGGGTGCTGGAAACTGGTGTCGAGACGAAGCTTATCCTCTTGACACTGGTCCACGATAGCCGCCTGTAAGCCGGGTTACCGAGGCTGGGCTGTATAGCTTACACATCACATCTCAATGATATTCAAGTTTGGTTCAACTTGAAACCTGTTTCAAGTTACGATGATCTGGTTTCGAAAGACCTGAGGGCAAGTGTAATTTGGTGCGTTGCAAAGGCAACAAGACAATCTTCCCATGGACACGTCGATACGAATAGGACCATATCGATTAACGATTTACGTAGGTCTAATCGGGCTAGAGTTATTAAGACGTCACTTTGCTTGGATTGCTCTCCCTACGGGGATTTCTATGTCGCTTTCTCAGAATCGAAACTTGCAGAACAACCATTGGAGCGCTTGTGGATCAAGACCCCAAGTCAGAAGGCATTGCAAGGACGGCCAGTAATTGTGTGACTGCGCATATCCGGAGCGTTCCGATGCATGTCTACTGATATGGCATATCCCTATTATACCGTGGAATTCTATTTGGTTCTGTCAAGAAGAGCTCGAATGCTATGGGTTGACAGACAATAGGAGAACGGGATGGGAAAGAAAATCCGCCGATTCGACCTCAGAGATGTCAGGTTAATAGGTACCACCCTCCCTTAGGTAGCTAAGATCAACTTACTACTTACCTGACACCTACCTACATACATGATGTTAGATACCTTCGGGGTTCGTACATGAGGTATGTAGAGACGTACAAGGCGTCTACATATCGTTGCGTATGGCTACCTGCTGACCACTCGTTTATCCGATAGCATTAGCCGAAGGCCATTTAGGACGCATCCTAGTCCGAGTTGTTCGTATAAGACGTGTAAGAGTAGGGAGTACTTCTGGGCCAAGTGCTCTCGCCCTTCAAAAGATCTTCTTGGCCGTTCTAGATGCGTGCGCGTATCGACATCCACATGGGAATGGGTTGGGCAGTAAGGCCGAATGAGCAAGCAGTCTTACCTTTTAACCCTGTCCCCCCTGTCTTCCTACATAGTACCTACATACATAGGTAACTACCTATGTATGTACCTAACTTTTACTTTTAATATCCATTTTCCATTTTCCGTTTTCCATTTCCTATATCCGACTTCATCGGCGGACGTAGAGGATTAGCTGACTTGATTCGACACGCCGTAGAAATTGCCGAAAATAAAATGAAATAAAATTAGTTTCTATGAAATGGGACCATTCTACGTCAAACTCTCAACGAGTCACGCGACGGTAATGGCCCGTGGTGCGGTCTCATTACCTAGTCACTTTTTGTACCCAACCGCGCCTCTCGCGTCTCGCATTCCGAGACTACGATTTCTATAGGATCGACAATCCTAAGTCAGTCTCTAATAGGTACGCCCGTACCATGATCCGGAATCCCGACTGCAAGCACTGCGCACAGTTCACGAGTTCGTGTCACACCACCATAAATTCTGTCGAGGACTGTCTAGAAAGCAAAAAGGGTTGGATAGAAGCATCGCGTTGGTCTCGATCACTCCTTTTTTTTTTTGGGAATTTTCTTTTTTTCGAACGGGCCAGGCCCTTTTTCTTATCGGATACGGAGAACACACGTGCTCATCGACACGTTTCGAATCCGCTGAGATCGTCGCCTTTTCGTTGACCGGTCGTGTTGTAACAGGGCTTAGGTGTCGATTCCCTATCGTCTCCTCATTGTGCATTTTCGTTGGCTTTGCGTCGTGGCCCCCGACGACGAGAGACAGCAATCCTTGGCTCGTCTATGGGTTACGTGGGTGTGTCTAGCAGCTAGCAGGGCGTCAGGTTGCCGCTGTCCTCGCCTATGCAGTAGGCGGTAGGTAGACATTGGAAACTCTGCATCCCGACAGGTTACAGTGATTAACCCGTGCATGGAGAGCAGCACATCCTCTGCAGCAAGCTGGCAGCCCTGTACCGGTGACCGTCGCAGCGTCCAATCCCCATGTAAGAAGGCCTTGCAGAAAAGTACCCATACCCATACCCACTTCCTTAGCCCTGGCCCCAGCTAGCCTTAACCCCATGCCTCAGATCTGAAGGGCGGATGCAAGCACATGCCTAGCAGAGATGTTGGAGGTGTGCTTGACTTGTCTACTGCAACCAGGTACTTGCTAGCGGCGGCACGCTACAGTACCCGCGGAGGCGTCCGGCGTTACTACACCGGTGCCAGATGTATTTATACTCCAATCCTGTATCATGCGTGTACATTTGGATATGCTAGCCAAGGCGTAGCTATCCGAAAACACGGCGTTTAGAGCATTGGGAATTCGGGTGCCACAGGCGTTGCGCAACGTAGGCGGCCCATCGTACGTCGAAGAGATCTGAGGTTTTTCAGATAAACAGCTACGTGCGGTGTTGTAGAAGCGGCAACTCGTATAGAGAGCTATAGCTGGAGCTCCGCATCCGCGAAGACGAACTCATCATTCTCGAGTTCAACTGAACCCGACCAGAGGGTCTTTTTCTTTTTACTAGTTCCACTACCCCTCCAACTTTTCCCTCAACGATTTCTAAGTGTTTTATGAGATATGATAGTGCCCCCTTTTAGTGCTGAGGCGAATTAATGGTACCAAATGAGGTGCCGGCCGCTATTTCCGTCTGCCCCGATCCAGTGATCGTGCTCCCCGGACGCTATGGTCAACGTATATGTACAGCTCGAGGCTTGACCTTCGTGGGTGAGCTGACAACATCCTGACGTGTGTATAACGTGCGTGGGTCGTATATAGTAAGAGATAGATGAGAGTCCAGACCTTACACTTATATTTGCACGTTTTCTTTTTTTTGCTGATCGTCATTACGGCCCAGACCTTAGAAACAACCCCCAATCTCAAATCCCGACCGCCTCTTTGAGAAAGAGCGGGCAGTCTGCAAAGTGTCGATATAAAAATGTTAAGAGTCTTAGACTGACAAGGTGGCTTTCTATTTGCACGTTCTTTGGTTGATATATTTGCATGGGGAAAACAACAAATGTTCTCTCAAGCCTCCCCAAGCCTCCCCAAGCCTCTTAAGCCTCGAAGTGTATAAGTGTACCCAACGTGGAAGGAACATTGAATGAGGTAGGTAGGTATGTAGGAAGGATGGCGGCCACTAGGCCACGTGAGTTAGTCGTAATGCAATATGTGATGAGACCCAGGTTGTTAATTAAGTGCTGTGGCTGGAGAGGCTTGGCATCCCGCGGGTAATGAAACCAGACAGCCGGTGGCAGAACTTAAGAAGGCGGTAGGAGGTGGCTTGCGAAATATGTTACATAACGAAATATGTTACATAATGAAATATGTTACATAATGAAATATGTTACATAACGAAATATGTTACATAACGAAATACCTATCATATATATATAATATAACGGTATGTGACGAGTAGAAAGTCGAATATGACCATCTCTATTGAAATCTCTACCTACATATCTAGGTACATGTACCTCTTAAATAATAGGTAGCCGCCTCTTATTTGCATATGCGACGGAACACTACATACCTTAGGTATATATGTAACTGCTCTGTACTACAGCGGCTGCCACTTTGTAGATGCTACTTTTTCGCAGATCCAAGCGGCCAGCCGCGAGTCGGAATCTTATGAGTTACACATTCTTCTGCACCCTCTGCACTCTCTGCATCCTCTGAATCCTTCTCTGTTGTGGATAATGTGGATAATGTCTAACCTAGTGCAATGCACCCATGCGCCATGGGCTTTTTTGCTACCGGATGGCGGATGGGAGCCGGAGTGGCAAATCGAACCGGGCATCGAGTCCACCGCCGCTACGGCGATGTCGAATTCCGTATATACAAACATTACATATCATGTACCTACTTTCCTCCCTGGAACTGCATTACGACGCATGCTGCAAGTCTAATACGAATAATAGCATCCGGACAAGCTTAAATGTACCATGTACTATGTAATAGAAATACTATCCTGCAGTGGAGTAAGCGAGCGAGCAGGAGGGATGAGGGACTACAAGGGGTCAAGCGCAACGAGGAAACGCCACCTATGCGCCTATTACATAGTACGCTTCTCTATCTTCTAGGTTACCTATGCTAGGTACGTATGTACGAGAGTGGTCTACGGCAAAAACTACCGTAGCAGCGCTAGCAGAAGACTCTTCATAGTATGTCTTACTCCACTAATAACGAGTTCAATGGGTTGCAGATGGATTACAAGCCCGTAACTCTCCTCCACAAGCATCTTATATAATATACTCTTATGTGGTTAACGGCGGTCACCGGCTGCATGCACATCGATCAAAATGATCTCGACAAGCTGCATCTCGAGAAGACCTAAGTTTTAGAGCTTGAGACCGTTTCACCCGAACTACTTGGCCTAGGTACATATCTGCATACCTACGCATATCCGCTATTCAGGGGCGAGAGCGAGACAAGAGGCACACACACGCGCCGTCACGCTTAGCCGTACGTGGCACATAGGTTACATACATACATAGTATATACACACATGTGGGTTCCGCTTTTGATCTCCGATCTCGACGGTCGTCCGGACGAAACCAAGGAGTTGGGAGGGTATCAATGGGGACGGGGGTATGGGGTTAAGAGCCGTGCCTAGGCCTACTTTGGTTATTACTAAAAGGTTTCAATCCAAGAAATCTTAACACGCGCTTTTTATAGATTACTAGTATATAGCTCCGCATGGGGCATATAGACAACCATCTCGTCTTGATATGCTTGTTGGTTTACCATTATGGCCTCTATTAAGCCAAAGGGAAAGGAGGAAAGGGGGAAAGGGAGAAAAAAAAGAAGAGTCGAGGCCCAGCTTGACAACGGCTACTGTATCGTTGTTACCACAGAATTTGATGAATTAAAATCTGATCCTAGGTATTTTTATCCCTCTGGACCAATGTCGTTCGTCGTCGTTCCTAGCTCCCGAGAGAACTAGACTACAGCTGCAGCCATTAGTATTGTCCGCGCAATTCTGTTTTAAATCCCGGTTGGTGCAGCATCCATGTTGCAACTATGATTTGGGGCGGTACGTAGTAGTATTGAAAGAGAATCAAAGAAAAAATTGTCCTGCCAAGTCAAACACTGAGATGCAAAGTGGCCAATCGTTTGGTGATTGTGGAGATCGGGGAGGAGAACGGCCCAGACTACAACAACACCGGGGAAAAAAAGAGTTTTTTCCCTCCCTTTTGCAAAGGTTGAGTAAATCTGTATCTATTGTACTTAGGTAGGGACAGTGATAATTTTATGTTAAGTAGTCTCAAAACCGGCGGACATATCGTATACTCCTAGTAAAGAGCTATGTTCCAAAGGATCGTGCTTCGTTATAGGGATCAGACACACTCCTCTCAAACCCCAGCATCGTCGACGAATTATTAGGTAGCTCAACCAGAGCTAGAGCAAAGAAAACCGCAAGTTGACACATCCCGAGAAGAAACCATTGATGAAACCCCCTTTTATCTCCGTATTAACCTCCGTGAGCCGGAACCCCATTGGTAACTTTCCCAATCCCAACCGTTCCCCGTGAGATGCAGTGCATGGGCACCCGCCCTACTAGGTAGGCATCGTGGGCCATATTATTTAGTTAGTGTACTTACGAAGGGGGAACACGTCGCCAGGCATCGGTTCCAGGTGCCACGTCTGGTAGGTGTCCGCGTCGAATGCATCATGCCATTCCCGCTTCAGTTCGTCCGGTATGTCCCACCCATGCTGCGAGCTGCGTAGTCGCATGCGAACTAAGTGCCGCTTATGCTGAGGAGAGTCGCCGTCGACGAATCCTTCGCGTCTGTGGAGAACGGCAAGGTTGTTGATGAAATGCATGTCGCCAGCTTGGGTCTTGATCTCAAGTTGGACCGCTTGGGCAATCGCTTCCACCACGTCAAGAGCCTCGCGCTGGCGATCATTGAGCTTTGGGAGATTCTCTGGGCGTGGGTGGATGGCATTTCCCAATAGGGGCGTACGACCAAAATTCATCACCAGCCTCGAGTTGTGGTGGAATAATATGGGTCGACATTGGAAGCGCGGACTTGAATCGGAAATGTTAGTGTCGTCTACAAACAATGTTGAATATAGAATGAGCTTACAAAGCAAATGGCCAATCCGACTTCGCAAGGGTGCGAATGATGTCGGGACGATGGGCCGCTAGGATGTTGTAGATAGTATAAGCCGACGCAACGATGCACTTGCCTCCGGATGCTGCAGTGCTACGAGTCAACCAAGCGACCACGTCGCCCGCCTCCTCGTTGTGGAAGGACTGTATACATTATAAGCATGTGAAGATGCAACTGTTCAATCCAACTTACAATAGCAGAGGTAGAATGGCGGTGGTGGCCTAACTTCAGCTGAGAAGAGTTGTCTGCCACGATGTGGACTAAGAAATATGTCAGCTCGATATGATATCTAGGTCATATACCCGTATACTAACCAAGCATGTTGCCTCGGTGGTCTTGGCATCCTCGCTGGTCAGCGATGTATGCTTGAATACCTAGCCAGACAATGGTCAAGTCTTCAACGGAGTAGTCCTCCGGGTTGATTCCACGAATAACGCAGAGGCCGCTGCCATTGTGAATATCATGACTAAGCTCATCTAGCTTGGGACCGAGTGTGGGAAGGGGGAAATTGTCCCGGTTGACTAGATCACCATCCAGTTCCAACGCTGGACATCGAATGTTAATTAAGGAGAAGCCCCGAAGGAAACTTTGGGGAAGACATACATTTGAAGTGATCCTTCGCGGAATTGACCTCTGCCAGGTTCTTCTCGGTCAAATGATAGATGAAGTGGAGCTCATGATCACTGACTTGATTTCCTGTCCAGGAAAACGCCTGACCCGAGTGAGCGGGAAAGTCCATGGGGAGACCAGACAATCCCTCCGAGGCAGGGTTAGCATGTAAGGGATACTCCGCATGGAGCAATGCGTTTCCTGAGGAAAACAGGACTGGACCGTTGTTGGAATCCATATCTATGGTCTTGTAATATGTTAGTTGCATCCAATAGCAGGTCATACCATCAACGAACCTAGAGTGGTTGAGTTCCTGAAAGGCGTTTTAGTGAAATGAAACGAATAAGAGAGTCTAGTGGCTGGGTTGATAGATCTGCAGTTGTTTGGATGAGTTGTGAAGTGAAGTGAAGTGAAGGATGAAGAACGAGAATGGTTGAAGAAAAGTTGAGAATTTCTGATCTGACAACCAGGCTAGATAATAGGCATCTAAGAACACTATGTAGGGAAGGAAAGAGAAGGCACTTTCGTAGAATGGAACATACCTAAACCTTATACCATCAAAACCCTCCTTACCGACTTCTACACACTTTGGCTAGCTGGAAAGCACAACTCTGCAGATACCTACAAGACACGGGAGGTGCGCCTTGTACAGCAGGGGGACGTCATTATCCGATCTGATATTAAACTACATTAGGTATACTGTATAGGAAGCAGGTACGAATATCTTGACGAAGCTGATCGAGATGTGAGGTGAATAAACACTGCTATAGTATAGAAGCTTCAAACTCGAAGTCGGGGTGTGTATAGCGAAACCCTGGGATACAACCACCCGTAACGACGTGGCGTACACGAATGTGAGGTCCGCGGCTATAGGCTACCAGACCGTATATTCGCCAGGGCCTGCATACCCAGGCACGTAAATAGGGCAAGCCCAGAGGCAGGTACGTACATATGCAAAACATCCACTCCTGCTGCATAAGTACGTAGCATAGCATCGAAGCTACCTACCTCTTCGTGCTTTTCAGTTTTCTTTTTGAATCATGCACCTGCAATGCAAGCCACTAGGTACATGTACGGGTCGCTGCAAGAAACATCTGCTAACCAGGTAGGTGGGAAGATGCATGTCTTAATAACCTAGGTTAGGTAGGTAGCCATGCAGGGTGCCGTGGCCGGGGACAGAAGGAGCCGCAAGGTATTAATATATATAGGTATTTATATATATCCGCTGGCTGTGCAAGAGGGGAAAGAATCAGAGATCATTTTCGGAAAGACAGGATCCGCTTGCTTCACCGATGCCAAGATTTAATGATGTTGTGGTAGGTACCTTGCTGCATGTTGAAGGTCTTTATGTCGTATATGTACCTGCATGTAAGCTGTTCTATAGGCTCCATGCTATTTCATTATGTAATGTTGCTCTGTATGGCTAAGGCCCACGAGGAAAGTGTATTGATGTAATTAATACGTACACGTATCGTCCAAGAAGGACGCCTATAGGCAGGAATGTCCACAGTACCTAATGTACCTAGATCTTATACGCCATCACAATTTGGTCATTTCCGTTTCAGAAAAGCAACCTGAAGTAGCGTTGCAACACTCAGCTATTCGGTTATGTCCTCGAACAACCCGAGTGGTTGAAGAGTACATACATATATGTATGTAAGCCGCATGTTCCGATAATAGGTACTTTTCGATGTCTTTCTATACATGTACTCGTATGCACCGACTAACAGCTGTCGTACATCATAACCTACATAAGGCACATAACATAGGCTATAGGTATTGAGACAAGTCGTTTTTCTCGAGCAAGAAGGACCCGGGCCGTTACAGTATAGCGTTGAAGGATAGTACGACAGGATCGTGTTGCAGAATGGTCATACGTGTCTACCTACTCTGATGTCAGTTGAGAACTATATCCTAAACACACTAGCGATATACTTGTAGAACTCTCAAAACTGCATTCTTACGGCAGGAATGGCAGGAGTCTCTATAGGCAAGTATGTCCAGCGTTTAGATATAAATGTGGGTAGCTTCGATGTTTCAATGTTAGGTAGTCTGGGCAGCACTTACTCTGTCTTCGTTTCTCCGTTATTGTAGGTAGGTAGGTACCTAGGTAGGTAGGTAGGTACATGTAGGCAGTGGGGAGCCTGCATATAACTGGCTAGGACATGATGTACCTATTTACTGCATCCGGTCTCGTACCTCATGCATGATGTAAAGTACCTAACATAGGTAGGTGCCTGTACCGGGCCTGCAAGTTCTACGCGTAAAAGGTACAACAGTAATCTTCGCCAATGCTTGATTCTTGGTTTAGATGTTGTGAACTGGATCTTGCTCAAAGTCTTTTTTCTTTCGCGCCGAGCTCCCGCCACGCGGATCAGCTCATATCGTTTCTCAGATCGTGGATTGTGGCATCCAATTTTCCTCGTACAATTGGCTTATATAGTAAAAATCATTCTCATAATCGCCACTCTGCCGCAACTTTGCCCAATGTTTTTCTGCAAGATCGACCAGTTAGCGGTCTGCCCGTTTTTGGGCACTGCTATGTACGTATAGAGAATCCCAAGACAAGATTGAGAGACGCGTGGCTTACTGTATTTTTCGGCTTGCGCCCTTGTGTACTGGATGAGCTTTATCTTGGTCTCATCTTTGTCGACCAATGTCGATATGTCTTGCTCCTTGCACTCCCCAGAGAACGGATATACGCCTGTCTACCGTTAGCACATTCGGTTCATTAATGCATGGGAAACCCCGAGTTTCTCACCTCTATTGCAGTAATGAAAATACGCCAACAGAATATTCGCTCCTATTTGAAAAGGCTGTATGTTAGGATATCCCAGCTTCAAGAAAACTAATGTTGAAGAACCAGTCCCGTTCAAGAGAACGCCAGGGCTTACCCGTTTGATACTCTCTCACCATCTCTTCTCTCGCAAACCGGCTCTGCAACTTAAAAAGTGAGCGCAATGTCCTCGTAATCGTCTGGCAGTCATTTGATACACACCTTGATACCATGCTTTCGAGCATATCCAGCGTCATGTTGGCAGAGGAGAGCTACGTTGTGGAGCAGGATGAATGTGATTAGGTATGTCGTGAACCAGGTTTTCTGCTTGTTGGCCTGTGTCATAGCTTGTAAGCTTTCCAACATTTCCCGCCGAAGACTGGATTGTATCTGATGGATAAGGACAAGCTCAATTTGTGCGCCCATCACGGGTGGGAGGGGAACACATCCTCGAAGTGGGCTCGTCTCATCCATGATATCTTTAGACATCCCTAGTGTTTCGTCACCAATAATAATGGTTGATTTGGTGGTCAAGCGGACAGCCATCCACAACTGTAACGCCTTCCTCAGAAGCGCACTCTCTTTGGGGTCGATAGTCTGGTCCCTCGAAGCTCTGATCGCAGCGCCGTACGTTGCGAGTAAAAACTTCTCCTTGCCGATGACCTTTTTACAGCACTCGGGTAGCCATTGCCTAATATAATTGGTATAGGTACTCTTCGCTTCCTCGAGATTCACGATAGCATACGGGGGGATTTTGACTCTTCTCCTATTTCCCTCGTGAACCCAACTACGCTCGAGTTTGTCTCCATCCTGCGGAACAAATTGGCGCACTTGGAGCTCGACCACCTGTTCGGTGTACCCTTCGGTAACCTTGACTATTTTCGTTTCCGACGACGCCCACTGTGATATATCGTCAGGGATCCCCTCTATCCACCTCCGAGTCCATTCGTACCCCTTCACGTTCCCGGGCTTGAATAGCTTCACGTCAGTGATCTTATAGCGAAGGCATGGCATCCGCCAAATCTTGGTATTGTTTATTCTAAGACATGTCAAGCACGTGCCGAGCTTATCTGTAGGGTTAGTCTCACACTAGAGTCGTGAATTAGCTGATGAAACGCAGGGCGCTACCTAGGAATCAAACAGTAAAACAACAGTGAGGTTTCTTACGCGAATCCGTTGCATCCGGCACCGAATACAAGAGCCAATTCGCCTCGTCTCGGCCGTCTTCTCTCGTGCGTCGTTCGTTTTGAATGGTCCCCTCCTCGCAGCAGAAGGTCGTTGATTTGGCTGTACGATGTCCAATTCATTGGGTTTGTTACCAATACTAATTCTATTTACTTCTTGAGGTGAGATATTCTCGGTAGTACTATTATGCCCCAACAATGGCGGACTATATGAATGAGCTTCCATCGTGATGTTTGACATGGAGCTTGATACGTCATGGTGGAAACCTGATTGATTAAAAAACTGCTGACCAGGCACGACCTCAGGATACACCATGCCCTCACCGCTAGTAGAAGGCTGTATAGTCATAGGCCGATTTGGCTGTAGAATAGGGTAATTGGGTATCGTAGGTGGGGCTGTGGACGGGGCATTAGAAATGAAGACATTCGGCTGGTCTGGCGACATAGTTCCAGGCGCCGAGCCTGGAGATGATGGCCTGTCATCAAAATACTGACGCCCCGAAGCGTAAGCGTAGGGCGAGCTGGCTGGAATTGAACCATAGACTAAGTCACATTTAGTATGCTTGCATAGAAAAGAACTGGAATAGGAAGCAAACCTTGGGGTTCGCAAGTTGTGCACGGTGGGCAGATAGAGAAGTTAGTGAAATACTGCGTGAGACGGGAACGGTCTATGCCTATGGAGAATCCACTGTTGGATGATTCAGGAGCATGCTGCCGCTCAGAGCCGTCTTGTACGGATGGCGTAGGCGGCGAAGACTTCTCCTGAGGGGATGCCAACGTCATATCTGCACTAAGACGTGGCCTCTTGGTTGAAACAGGATATGGGGCAGAAGAGAGCGGATACTGCTGAGGATGAGGTGCTCTGTTATAAAGGTCCAGTAATTGAGGGACGGGGCAATTTAAGATAGATGCCGCCTGCTGGAGTATTTGTAGATCGTGAGCGGAGAAGTCCTCCGGGTGAGATGAAAGGGTAGAGGCAGAAAGCGAGTAAGAGGAATCCTGGGGTATAGGCACCACCGGGGAATCCCCATGGCCGTAAGGCCGGCGCTTTCTGATATTAGGATTATTCTATATGCAAATCAACAGACTGCACGCTGGGGATACAGACACAGACAAGGTATGGGCTACTTGGCTATCTAGAAGCGAACTAGGGTAAGGGGTATAGTAAGAAAATCTTACCATTGTACGTTCGATGAACGAGCGTATGGCCTATGGCCTATGGCCTATGGCGTATGAGGACGGAGGTGTGTTAGACAAGAGTCTAGCTAGCACCACAAAACAGGGTGTGTGCCGCGTGTGCTAGGGCGTCAGTCTTTTGCTGTGCGCACATACGAGAGCAGTCAAGAGCTGCGCGTATCCTTTTTTTTTTGCGCCTCACCGGGGCGTCAGACGGGCAGTGGGGTTTGTTGAGACGGCGTACGTCAAGGTCTTACGGACGTCATTGCCGCTAATAAGACTGCCGGGATCATCAGAGAGCTAATGCGACCATATTTCGGTGCCGCGTTGTATTATGTTAGGTATGTTTATGCTGTGCTGTGC